CTCTGTAACTTTCAAAAAAACCTTTCATGTTTGTTCATGTTAATTCTATCATGACGGAAGGTCTTATGGCCAGGCACACTATCAAGAAAATGTTCATGTCATCCATTCATGAAACGGTTATTGAATATCCTTTAAGTAGATGCTCCTTATTGAGCAATATTTAACCATAATTTTTGAAAGTATAATAAGAAAGAGCCAATGCTATTGCACAGCACGCTAAAACTCTGCCCACAATGCTGGCATCCCATATGAACTCCAGCTCAACCTCTGGCTGCTATGCTTCAGGTCGATTCCTGCTAATGTACCTGGGAAAGCAGAAGAAGATGTTATAAGTACTTAGGCCCAGTACCTGGGAAAGTAGCAGAAGATGCTCCAGTTACTTAAGCCCCTGCTTCCCACATGGGAGACTTGGATAGAATTCCTGGTTTCTTGTTTGAACCTGAGTCAACTGTGCCATATGGGGAGTGGACCAACAAAAACTATCTCTAACACTGCCTTCCAACTAAATCTTTTTTAAAAGTCTGAAAATACAAAGTCTTGTGAAAGTTTAGATGGGGCAACTACTTCCTCAGCAATGACCTTGCTTTGCCACTACCTCCGTCTTCCTAGAAAAGTCCTTAATTATCATCCAGTCAGCTTGCCAGTCACAAGTGGCCAAGGGCATTGGAGTGGAGAATTACGACAGCTGAGTTTACCAAACAACTGTATCATCTCTGCATGGAAATGCAGCAAGTGTCAACATTCACTCAGAGCATCTATAATTGCACCTATTATCTAGGACATTCTTTGCTAAAGCATGCCAGGAAAAGTTTTAGAACCACCTGCTTTGCTGGCCTCACAGTAGACACCCCTGAGAGTCCTCACATTTTCCTGGAGGGCTAAGCCTTTAATATCATATTCTCTGTTTTTTTCTTTCTTATTCAGATCGAAGGAGAAATTTGCTTGGTAAAGACAGATTATCACCAGTTGCATTTGCATTTACAAACAGGAGGTGAAGGGAACATTTCCACTGGCAATAAAATAAAAGCAAATGTTTTCTTCCCCTCCCTTTGAAAATGCTACATGATTTGAGAGCTGTTGCTTTACTAGCTTTTCAACACTTCTGGAAATTTAAAGTGGGGAGGAGGATATGTGGAGGAAGAGTTAGACAAAAGTGCTGTCACAAGATCAAGTGAAGTGAATTCTCTGAGTAGAAAGACTGGGCTTTGTTATCTTTTTGTGGAGTCCCACAGTTGATGAAATCGCAGGCGATGGAATACTTTTTTTATCTGATAATAGTGGCTTACTGAACGTTTTAGATTTCTGCATTTTAAGCTATTAACTCCATACTACATTGTCAGCAACTGTAGGATTATACAACAGGAAATTGTGATTACATTTTTTAATAAAACAATTGTTTATTGAAGTTGGTGCCCTGCAAGGCAGTGCTGGTTTGAATCCCAGCTGCTGTGCTTCCCACCCAACCTCCTAATACTGTGCCTGAGAATGCACTGCAAGATGATCAGAGCACCTGGGTCCCTGTCATCCATTTGGGAGGCCAGTGAGGAGTTCTTGGATCCCAGCTTTAGGCTGGCCAGTCCTGGCTATTTCAGAGATTTGTGGAAAATGGAGTAGCTCTGTCTCTATAACTTTAAAATACACAAATTTTTTAAAAAGATTGATTTATTTGAGAAGCAGAGAGTTCCCATTTGCTTGTTCATTCCCCAGTGCACACAACAACTGGGCCTGATCCAATCTGAAGCCAGAAGCCTAGAGACCAGTCCAGGCCTCCCATGCAGGTGGCAGAGACTCTACCAATGAGGCATCACCTGTTTCAGGAAGCTAAGTGTCTTACATCTTAGATACTAGGTTTAATACCTGGATCCACCCTTCCTGCCTCCTTCCCTTCTGCCCGCCCTTCCTATTTCTTCTCTTCCTTCCTTCTTTTCCTTCCTTCCCTATTTCCTTTCTCTTTCAACTTTGAAGAAGAATGTATGTCATTGCTATAGTAAATGACAGCATATGAGGAACGCAACAGGTTGCATAAAATAAGAGAATTTGCCAACATGACACAAGGAGCATTTGAGAGTCTGTTATTCGCCTTCTCCAAGCACCTAGCGTGCCAGCTCTGCTGGTGACCATGCCTCTGCCCTAATGAGCTCTTAAGGTAGAGCTCAATGAGGAGCCTCAGCTTCAGGTATTATCCCGTGGGCAGATCCACAGTATCAGAAGTCAACAAACTTCTAACAGTTGGCACAATATTGGGTGGCTGCCAGTTTTTGTAAATTAAGTTTACTGGAACACAGTCAAACCTATTTCTTGATATATTTTCTCTGGCTGCATTCAGGCAACAGCAGCAGAGTTGGATAGCTGCTGAGTCATTGCAACAGATCTCATTTGTCCTGAAAGACCCATATTTCCTATCTGATCTTTTACAGCCAGAAGTCTGCCGATCCCTAGTTTAAAACATCCTCACTCCCCAGTGTTACTACTTTGCTGTTACTTAGAGTAACAGCAAAGAACAAAGAGGAAGTTGAAGCATTTAGTTCTAGTCAGCAGCACTGCATAACTCTAAAAGACTAAGAAGTTGACTGCATGTATTGTAATAATAATTTTGGCACTAAATGTGAATATACCACTGAAGCTCTGCTGGCTATGAAGGGTCTTCCAAAAACTGTATGGTGGGGCCAGGTGTTTGGCACAGTGGCTAAGCCTTTGCTGGGGACGTCTGCATCCCATGTTGGAGTTCAATTCTCAGCTGTTCCACTTCTGATCTAGCTTCCTGCTAATGTGCACCACTGGGAGCAGCAGGTAATGATGCAGGCCTTGGGCCCTTACCACTCACCCTGGAGACCTGGATGGAGTTCTTGGTGTCTAGCTTTGGCCTGACTGAGACCCAGCTATTTGAGCTATTGCAGACATTTGGGGAGTGAACCAGGAGATGGAGTCAGGAGCCAGAAGCTCCATCTTGGTCTCTCATAAGGGTAGGAGGGGCTCAAGTATGTGAGTCTTCCTGGTTGCATTCGTGGAAAATGAACCTACACTCCAATGCAGAGTGCTGGTGTTCTAGCCAGCTTAACATCAATGCTATATATATATAGATAGATAGATATAAAATCTGCAATAATACTTTATATACATACAGTATATTTATATATAATTATATCAACATATACATTCATTATGTTTTATATATAAAATAAATTATACATTATAGTCATATTATAAATAATATATATGAATGTTATATATAATACATTCTATATATATATTGATAAAGTCACATTGTACTTATAAAGTCATGTTCTCTGGGGTAGTTATTTATTCTTGTTCCCATGTTGATGACAGTGAAATTACCATAAACATGCTGTTCATAGGTTAAATACGAGATATTTCATCCTTTGACAATGTTGCTGGGAAATACTCCAGCTGATCTTCTCCCATCCATGTTTGTAATCTTTTGTTTTCAGCATTTATTTCCTTGACACTGTGTCTACCAATAGATAGGGATTGCCTGTGTCTGAGCTCAGCTTTTTCTGGGGGCAATGCCTATCATCTTGTCTGTTCTAAGCCTGACTGCTTTTGGGTTGGGTCCTTCCTTCTGGTGTTTCAATGGCCTTGGAGGCAGGGAAAAGCAGGAAATACTATTCCATCCTTTCTTGGTGGACATCCACCCACCCTTTCAGAAAAGAAAGATTCAGGTAGGACGTGTGTGAAAATAAAATATAGAAAACAGAATGACCAAACAATCCAAATACTAAGAAAATGAAGCTTTTTGTTTGATTTTCAAATAAAGGTAGCAAAAAAAAAAAAAAGAAAGAAAGAAAGAAAGAAAAAAAGAAGAAAAAGGAAATAAGATGGCTCTGGAAAAGCTTGTTCTTTCGCTTCTGTTCTCCTGGGGTATTTGGGGGCTTAGGAGGATAGATTTCATTTGTCAGTGCCTTCTCCCAAGGGTTATCCTTCCAGCTGAACCAAATGCTACCTGCACCATGCACCAGGGTGAACATTAACCAAGCCCTTTCTTATCATACCATAAAACCAACTCTGTGGCTCCCTGTTCTGCTCTGAATTCTACAACCATGCCCTCAGGCAGAGGAGGTGTCTGCTTCTGCAGCACATGCTTGCACAGACACATGTAGCAATCTTTATGCTTCTTCATTGTCCCATGTCCACACCCAGCTCAACCAGCTTAATGCCCTGAACAGAGGGAAAGGTATCATGGGTCCTGCATAACACCAGATCATGAGGTCATTTGTTTCTGCAATGAAGGACACATTGGTGGCCAGTATTGTCTCGAAGGGTTCCTGGGAGAATCCTGAGTACATATTGCTTTGATTCTTAGCTACTTGTTTTGCAAAACAGAGCTTGAAACAGAAGTAATGTACAACCTTCATGCCTTGCTGGAGGCAAATACACAGCTGCTCCAATCCTTCATAACTCATATCCTTGACTTTCCCTTCAGACTCTTCAAAAAACAAACACAACACCCTTGTCAGGCAGAGTGGCCACCCTTGAGATCCAGAGGGTTCCTAACTTCTCATCTCTAAGCAGATTAAATACTCTCTTTCCTTTATCCCAAACCCTTGTCCTTGTCATTCTGATTGGCCCCGGGGAATGGTGCTGAAACTGTTGGTAACAAATCATCCCCCTTGCAGGCAGCATGTGTCCCCATAAGGATTACCTGATGCTGGGGAGGAGAAATTTACTTTGTTTCAGCATCATTCACATTTCTCAAAATGAAATAGTGTATATTTCCATTGGGGTAACCTGGACATGGGACCAGAACCAAAGCCAAGCATTTCTATAATGTCCCCGAAGGCAGAATGAGGTGGCAGGAAATACCACATACAGTTCCACCTCTTGTGCTTTTCTCACTTAGTGAGACCACAAAAAAAAAATACAACCCATGTTGTCCACAAAGTCAGCAGGCCTGGAAAGCACATGACTTTCTCTCTGGCCAGCCTGGTTTTGTAAGTTTTCAGAGGCCCAGCATTTACTCAGAAGTTGCCCCCACCAATTACCTGTTGATGCTGTTTTTCTGTGCTAACATCTGCCAGTCCTTGCCTTTGGCGTTAGGAGTATCGAATGTAGCACAAATCCTCTGTCTGATGGAGTAGGGGATTTTGAAGGCTTTGGGGCCAGTCTGTGCAGGGAAATTGCTGTCCTCTTGTGCAAAGAAAGTGATGGTTTCTCTTTCACTCTGGGAGGGAGACAAGGAAAGCAGGATCACTTACAGCTGAATACATCAGTGATCAACAGTTTTCTCTGCATATGAAAATCTGCGTTACACACATGCATGCAGTGGCTGCCTGTTCTGATATACTCTATGAAGTGTTTTGACAAGTTTCTTTCTCTTTTAAAACAACAGTGAACTTCTCCAGGAGTCTAATAAATCCTGTTAGAGATTTACAACAGTTTCTTCCACTCAGGGGAGCCACAATCACCAGCTTCCAACATTCAAAGAGCTGGCAGTTGAAAGCATGAATTACATCCTTTGTGGTTTGTTTCATTTCAGGTTCTCAAGTTACATCTAGAATTGGTTGGAAGAAACTACCAGAAAATACTTTTTTTTTTTTTTTTTGGTGCGGTATAAAGAATGATCCGCTCACTAATAGTTACTAATGACCAAAGATGTCCAGGCTGGTGGAGCAGCTGGCTGGGGAACACCTGCAGGAAAGCTGCAAAGGAAAACCACTTGTATGATGCTCACTTGAAGTTTGCTGCAACCCTCAGTCCTGAAGTGTGCATTTTGTTTTCATTTCAGAATTACTTCACTTTGGTAAAGCAGAGTCAGCCAGAAGTTACAGCCAGTGTCTAAACAAGCCTGTGCTGATGGATGGGCTATGGATGTCTCTGCTGTCTGGCCACCTTGCTTCTAATTTGCAACCATCCAGACAGAATTTTCTATTTTGATGCAACACAGCTAAATCATCATCTCTAACACAGAACCACACAGAAATGTAGTGGGCTGCAGAGATGGTTAAGCTTATGTGAACTGAGGTGTAAAACTACAAAATTCTTGCTTGAATGGTTCTTGTGGACTGCACTGATGTTTGATTAAGGCCTCGAATTAGATAACTTTGAATTAAGAGGTAGAGCTTCCTCTGCCTGACCTAGGCAGGAAGTCCTCCAAAGAGAGGGAACAGATAGCTCTTGGAGATAGGCCTTCTTTGGGCCCGGAAGAAAAGAAAATGTTGGAATTTTTTTTCTTTACTATATATCTGTATGTATATAATATATAATATAAATTATATATAATGCTATAATATGTAGCATATAATATGTTACATATAACATTGTTATATAACATATCTATAACATACATGCTATATTGTATATGGTATACATAATATACATGCTATATATAATGTACCATATAGGCTATACATAGTATATCATATATTTATATATATCATGTTATACACAATATATATCACATAATATATTATAATGTGTTCTATGTTATATATCACATAGCGCATATGTCAGTATATGTCATACATCACATACATGTCATGCTATACATCATATGTTACATATATACGCTATATGTTATGTGTAAAATGTTAAATGTTATGCAGCACACATGCTATATATGAAATATGTTATACATGTTATATATTACATATGCTATGTTATATATCACATGTTGCATATTATATGACATATATCACATATTGCACATATTACATATTCTAATTATGTATTATATTTTGTATGTGGTATATAACAGTATATTACATATAACATTGTACAGTTTCTAACATTATATATGGTATACATAACCTGATGTCATATAACATATGGTATATATGGCATATTGTACAGGGTCTATAAGACATAGTGTATAGGGTCTATGACATATATAGTATATGTAACACATGGTGTATTTAACATATATGGCATATTTCCCATACTATATGTGGCATATATACCATATTTGGCATATTTACCATATTATGTATGGCATATTTACCATATTATATGATAACAAATTATATATAGCATATATACCATATTATATGTGGCATATTTAACATATATTTAACATATATATGGCATATTTACCATATTATATGTGGTATATTTAACATCATACAGCATATTTCCCATATTATATGTGGCATATTTAACATGTTATATATGGCATATATGCCATATTATATGTGGTATATTTAACATATTATATATGGCATATATACCATATTATATGTGGCATATTTAACATATTAGATATGTTATATTTAACATATTACATAAGGCATACATACCATATTATATGTAGTATATTTAACATATTATATATGGCATATACACCATATTATATGTGGCATATTTAACATACTACATATGTCATATTTAATCTATTATATGGCATATATAAAATATTATATGTGGTATATTTGACATATTACATATGTTATATTTAAAATATTAAATATGGCAAATACACCATATTATATGTAGTATATTTAACATTTTACATGTTATATTTAACATTATATATGGCATATATACCATATTCTATGTGGCATATTTAACGTATTACATATGTCATATTTAACATATTGCATAGGCATATACACCATATTATATGTAGTATATTATATATGGCATATATACCATTATATGTGGTATATTTGACATATTACATATGTTATATTTGATATATTATATGGCATATACAACATATTATATGCAGTACATTTAATATATTACGTATGCTACATTTAACATATTACATATGGCATATATACCATATTGTATGTAGTATATATGGCACATATACCATATTATATGTGGTATATTTAACATATCACATGTTATATTTAACATTGTATAAGGCGTATATACCATGTTATATGCAGTATCTTATATATGGCATATATGCCATATTATGTGATACATTTAACATATCACATATGTTATATTTAACATATTCTATAGGCATATATACCATATTATATGTGGTATATTTAACATATTACATATGTTATATTTAACATATTGTATAAGGCGTATATACCATGTTATATGCAGTATCTTATATATGGCATATATGCCATATTATGTGTGGTATATTTGACATATTACATATGTTATATTTGATATATTATATGGCATATACAACATATTATATGTAGTATATTTAATATATTACATATGTTATATTTAACATATCATATATGGCATATATAGCATATTGTATGTAGTATATATGGCATATACACCATATTATATGTGATACATTTAACATATCACATATGTTATATTTAACATATTCTATAGGCATATATACCATTTTATATGTAGTGTATTTAACATATTACATATGTTATATTTAACATATTGTATAAGGCGTATATACCATGTTATATGCAGTATATTATATATGGCATATATGCCATATTATGTGTGGTATATTCGACATATTACATATGTTATATTTGATATATCATGGCATATACAACATATTATATGTAGAATATTTAACATATTACATATGTTATATTTAACATATTACATATGGCATATACACCATATTGTATGTAGTATATATGGTACATATACCATATTATATGTGCTATATTTAACATATCACATATGTTATATTTAACATATTGTACAGGCATATACACCATATTATATGTAGTATATTTAACGTATTACATATGTTATATTTAACATATTGTATAAGGCGTATATACCATGTTATATGCAGTATCTTATATATGGCATATATGCCATATTATGTGTGGTATATTTGACATATTACATATGTTATATTTGATATATTATATGGCATATACAACATATTATATGTAGTATATTTAATATATTACATATGTTATATTTAACATATCATATATGGCATATATAGCATATTGTATGTAGTATATATGGCATATACACCATATTATATGTGATATATTTAACATATCACATATGTTATATTTAACATATTGTATAGGCATATATATCATGTTATATGTAGTATATTTAACATATTACATATGTTATATTTAACATATTGTATAAGGCATATATACCATATTATATGTAGTTTATTATATATGGCATATATACTGTATTATATGTGGTATATTTGACATATTACATGTTATATTTGATATATTATATGGCATATACAACATATTATATGTAGTATATTTAACATATTACATGTTATATTTAACATATTGTATAAGGCATATATACCATATTATATGTAGTTTATTATATATGGCATATATACCATGTTATATGTGGTATATTTAACATATTACATGTTATATTTAACATATTGTATAAGGCATATATACCATATTATATGTAGTATATTTGACATATTATATATGGCATATATGCCATATTATATGTGGCATATTTAAGATATCACATAGCATATTTCCCATACTACATGTGACATATTTACCATACTATATATGGCATATTTACCATACTATATATGGCATATATACCATATTATATGTGGTCTATTTAACATATTACATATGGCATATTTACCATATTATATGTGGTATATTTAACATATATATGTTATATTTAACATTACATATGGCACATTTACCATATTATATGTGGTACATTTAACATTACATATGTTATATTTAACATTATATATGGCATATTTACCATATTATATATGGTATATTTAACATATTACATATGGCATATTTAACATATTGTATGTGGTATATTTAACATATTATACGTTATTTTTAACATATTATATATGGCATATATACCATATTATATGTGGCATATTTAACATATTACATATGGCATATTTACCATATTATATGTATATTTAAAATATTATGTATGGCATATATACCATATTATATATGGCATATATACCATGTTATATGTGGTATATTTAACATATTATATATGGTATATTTAACATATATGGTTGCATATATACCATATATAACATTATATTATATATAATTGTGTGTTATATATCATATAAATATAGTTTTTTTTTTCCAAAAGCAGAGTTGACAGAGAATCTCATGTTTACTGCTTTACTCTCCAAATGGCCTCAGCATTCTGGGCTGACCCAGGCTGAAGTCTGGGGCCTGGATCTTTTTGTTTTCCACCTGTGTTGCCAAGACCCAACTATTTAGACCATCTTATGCTTCAACAGGGAGCTGGGTCAAAAGTGAGGTGGTA